CCATTCTGATTTTTTTTGGTAAAGATGCATAATCGTATAGTAACATAAATTGCAGGATAAAAATTTGCAGAATGAAAAAACTGCAAAATAAAATTACTTTTATTAAATGTTGATACAATCTGTGTATTTATTTTGAATTAATCATTTTGACACATATCATATAAATTACGAAAAAATTGGATTCTACATATATATTCCTATTTAAGAAGTGATTAATACGATACTTTCTTTTTAAAAAGATTGAATGGTCGTTCTGTTTTTCTACAATGAAATTACAGTAAATTTGTTGTGAAGTACGAAATTCTCATGTTTACACAAATTTTGCAGTAACAAACTATATGCTTTTAATTCGATTTAATTATGGCTTAGTCAATATAAGATTGTCGGTTGGCTATTTCTGTATATTTATTAAAGACAGTATGAGATTTTCATTTACACGAGATGGTTTTCGTCTTATACGTATGCCTAACTTTGCACTGTTGCATTTGGCAAATACGTATACGAAACCCACTTTTAAGATAAGGTTGGTTCAAGTCTATGTATTGACTTAATAATTTGGTCTATCCACGAAAAGTCATAACATTGAAAAACATGGTGGTAGGTTTTAATCAAATCGTTTTATACTCAATTTAAATCAGTATTATTTTACTCTAGGGGACATTTTTCAATAGGTCCGTGTCATGGAATATTTCAATTTCGACTATAGTATATGATTAAATAAATATTTCATATTGATTGATTTTTTTTTTTTCGAATATAGTTTACGTACGATCCATAACATTTTGTTTTATTTATGTGTTCTGTTTGGCTGATACATTCCGAGTTTCCATTAGATTTAAGTTTGTTATACGTGCAAAACATGATAACCTACCGTGTGCAGCAGAAAATAGGTAGACAAAATATTATATAAAATCTGAAAAATGGGATTTATTCAATCAAGTTCTCTAAAAAAAAAAATTAAAATTTGATAGTTATAATTAGTATAAACTTTTTCAAAATCCCCATTAAATGGACTAAAGATTTGTAAGGTTAAAATGATTACAATTTCCCCAGTTGGAGCGGACAAATCTATCAGCGGATTGAACCGTTTTTATTAAGACCTTGAATGGGAGGCTGATAAAAAGTAGTTTTCTTGCAAACGAAAAAATTGTCTTGTTATATTTACCATTCAACACAAAATAAATATAATGTAATTCAAAAAGGAAAATATTATTAAAAAATAATTGTCCTGATGGCACATCAAAAATAAGAAGGATATTTGTACTGCACTATGAACAGTAAAATCGCTGGAGATTTGAAGTGTTTGATCTGTTAGATCTGCTTGATATGCTTGAACCGCTTAATCTGCTCTGCCCGATACGCTCTCTCCATTCGAATCCTAAGTTTGACATACAGTATGTGCAGGTTTATTACTTTTTGTGCTAATTAACTTTACCCATTTATCATTTGGTATAAATGTACTAATATTCCAAAAGATTTATAGTTATTGTATACGTAATTACATATAACAATTAAGTAGTACAATAACAAAAGTGTAGATTGAGTTCGGGTGAATATTACGGCTGATGAATTTGGCAGTGTTAGAGAAACATGTCTGTTGAGTCGTTTTCGTTGTCGGGCGGAAATGACCCCAAAGGTTTTGATGTGTCTCAAAGACGTCTTGTTTCAGTGTTTCAATTATTTTTTGTTGGTCACTTATTTCTACACGTGTGTTTATGTTTTTACGCATGTGTCTTTTATGCATACGTACTCGTTCTTCTGATGAGTTTCATTCAAACTCAAACTCCGAGTGAGAGATGTAACAACATTTATATCTATAATAGTGTAAATTGAGATTCACGTTTTGATTTAGCTCCTAACTATTATAGATTAATTAGGAATGCATAAAAAAAATTAGAGAGATGAAAAAAAAAAAAAAAAAAAAAAAAATTAGAGAGATGATTATATATTTTTCAAGAGAAGTTGATTCGAAACGTCACATGGCTAATCTGTGGTTTTGGAAAGGGACACAGTCGTCGTAGCTTTTTTAGCTTTGAATTCAAAACGCAATTAATATGTTCCTTCGTTTTGCATATTGCTCTCTCACTTTTTTTTTTTTTTCATTTACTTCTTTTCTCTAGTTTCTAGGTTTTGTCTCTACTATTTTTTTTTTCAAATTTTGTTTTTTTATGACATATCTTACTTTTTTATGGTAATTGCATATGCTGTAGATAGTTTTTAAATCATCGTAATAAGATAGGATTAAATATCAATAATGTAATAGAAGATAAAAAAAATTAATCAAAAATAAAATTTAAAAATACAATCAAACATGAACTTTGTGAGAGATGGGCTTCAATCATTTTCTATTCTGGGCCGAAAATAATCCGATTTGTTAAACTGCACATGGGCTCAAGTTGAATTGGCCTGTTCTTGTGGGCTGGGTGTTGCGTTTTCTGTTCTAAGTTTTTTTTTTTAAAAAGGCTTTTTTTTTTCTGTTTGGGCAGCTTCTTTCACGTTAGTGTTATACAGAGCCCATATAAAATGTTTTTGGAAACAAAAGAAGTTGGAATCTTCGTCTTTGAAAGTGTTCTTTGTGATCTTCTTTTGCTTTCACTAGTATACAATAAGAAAGCACCAGTTAGAAACGTATCAAGTGATAAAAACACCTTACAAACTCAAATTGCTTAATTTTCACAAACAATTCTTAGTTACATATCCTACACATATCGTAAGTTAGTTAAGAAAAAAAAAAACACTGGTAGTACCAAATGTTTTTAAGATGTTATTGTTTGTTGACATTTTTAGTTAGACTTTACATCATTGTTGATTCGTGGAGCCGAAACATTTCAGACTACTGGACCGGACTGTACAGTGAAAGACAAGTGTAATAAATTAAAGTTTCGTTTATTGGTTTCTTGGTTCCTTTGTATATATCAATCGGGACAAATTTACAAACTAAAAATAACTCACATGCATTCGTTTCCAAAAAGCTAGAATAGGAAAAAAACACAAATGAATTAATAATAACCAGAAAAAAGTAAGCTAATAATATTCATTACGCAAGCGAAAGAGACACAACACCAGTTTCAGTGGCAAGCTGGTCCTTGTATTAATTTCCACATTATCTTGTATTATTATATTTATTAGTATCATTGTATCAAGTTCTCTCAATAGAAAGAAGAAGAGATACTTTCTCAATTCTCTCTAATGGCTCTAATAACCTTACTTGAAGTCTCAGTTTCTTTCTTTTTTATCTCCTTCCTTTTCGGGTATTTCTTGATTAGCAAGAAACCTCATCCTTCGTTTCTCACAAACTGGCCATTACTCGGCATGCTTCCAGGTTTACTCGTGGAGATCCCTCGTGTTTACGACTATGTAACTGAGCTTCTCGAGGCCTCAAACTTAACTTATCCTTTGAAAGGTCCATGTTTCGGGGGACTAGACATGTTGGTCACCATTGATCCTGCCAATATCCATTACATCATGAGCTCAAACTTCGAGAATTACCCGAAAGGATCCGAGTTCAAGAAGATATTCGATGTTTTGGGAGACGGAATTTTCAACGCGGATTCGGAGCTATGGAAAGATCTGAGGAAATCGACTCAAAGCATGATGAGTCATCATGATTTTCAAAGGTTTACGCTAAGAACAAGCATGAGTAAGCTAGAGAAAGGGCTTGTCCCACTTCTTGATTACGTTGCTGAGAAGAAACTAGTCATTGACTTACAAGATGTGTTTCAAAGATTTACTTTCGACACTTCGTTTGTTTTAGCTACCGGGGTTGATCCAGGTTGTCTCTCCATCGATTTGCCGGATATCGAGTTTGCTAGAGCTTTAAACGAAGCAGAGGAAGCAATATTCTTCAGACATGTCAAGCCGGAGATGGTTTGGAAGATGCAAAGATGGATTGGGATTGGAGATGAGTTGAAGATGAAAAAAGCTCACTCCACTTTCGACAGAGTTTGCTCTAAGTGCATAGCTTCTAAGAGAGATGAAATAACCCGAGGGGTTATTAACATCGACTCTTCTTCTAAAGATTTGTTGATGTCTTACATCAATGTGGATACGACAAAGTACAAGTTGTTGAATCCTAGTGATGAAAAGTTCCTTAGAGACATGATTTTAAGCTTCATGTTAGCTGGTAGAGACACTACTGGATCTGCTCTCACTTGGTTCTTCTGGCTACTCTCCAAGAACCCAAAAGCCATAATCAAGATTCGTCAAGAAATCAACACAAAACTTACTCCAAGAACCAATGGTTCTAAATTTGATTCATTCAACCCCCAAGAGTTAAACAAGTTGGTGTATTTACATGGCGCGTTGTATGAATCCCTCAGGCTATATCCCCCGGTTCCATTTCAGCACAAGTCTCCAACTAAACCAGACGTTCTTCCGAGCGGACACAAGGTTGATGCGAGTTCAAAGATTGTGTTCTGTCTTTACTCATTAGGGAGAATGAAATCAGTTTGGGGAGAAGATGCATCAGAGTTTAAACCGGAGAGATGGGTATCCGAGAGTGGAAGGTTGATCCATGTGCCTTCTTTTAAGTTCTTATCATTCAATGCCGGTCCAAGGACTTGTTTGGGGAAAGAAGTGGCTATGACACAGATGAAGACAGTGGCTGTAAAAATCATACAAAACTATGAGATAAAGGTTGTTGAAGGACACAAAGTCGAGCCAGTGCCATCTATTATTCTTCACATGAAGCATGGTCTTAAAGTTACAGTCACTAAGAGATGTAATTTGGTCTGAATAATTTTGCATTACTTGTGGACTCTATGGTATGGAAATAAGTAATAAAAGTTTGCTAAGAGCTTGTCCTGGGATTGGCCTAGCGAATCGGTTAGCTACTGTCCATAACATTCTTGATGATTTTGCTTAAGTTCTTGAGTATGTACTCGAGAGTTTGTTTAGAATTGCTATGTAGTTCTAGTTTTTCTAAATAAAACTTAAAATAGATTAAATAAATATTCAACATTAAAATGATTTGTTATCACACAGAGTCATTGAACAAATCATACAAAGCAATCTGAACAAAAAAGATTATCCTGTCCAAAAAAAAAAAAAATCAAACAGACAAACATATAATACAAATGTTTAAATTTTAATATCTCAAATGTTTTTTTTCTGCGACTAGGTCAGTTTCAGAGAACCATAGGTAAAAAAGTTTAGAGAATGATTGTTTCATGGGACAAAAGAAGAAGACTTGAAAAGTCAACTATGGTCTTCTTCTTCTCTCTTTTATGTCACACCAATGATTTCAATTCTCTATCTCTCCTTCAATCTCATCTTCTTCATCAACCCTCTTCACATAGACCACACATGTTTCTTCATCCATTGACCTCAAATACTTGACTTTTCTTTCTCGCTCTTTCTCTCCATCGGAGCTATGGAGAATCTCTGTTTTGGAGAGACTGTTTCTCTCTTTGTAACTGTTATGGTTATTGTTCTTCTTCCTCGTCTCACTCTCTCTCAAACTGCAGCGTATACTCGACCCGCGAAGTTTTATGTTAACTGTGGGTCGGATTCTAATGCTGATCATGGTAAAGTAACCTTCGTTGGAGATATGAACTCTAGTAATAATTCTGTTACCTTGAGCGGTAAAGGAAGTGAAGTCATCAACGATCAATCATCTGGTGAGCCCGTAATCTACCGGACGGTTAGGATATTCAGACGCCCTTCTACTTACAAGTTCCAACTCGATTCTGTTGGTCTACATGTTGTGCGTCTCCATTTCTCTGCTGTGTTTTCTAGGGAAGATCTTTTAAATGCTCGTTTCAGTGTCTCTGTTACTTCTGGTTCTAATCATCACTTGAAAAGTTTCTCACTTCAGAATTTTACTGAGACCCCACGAGTTGAAGAGTTTCTCCTGATGATCAACTCGCCAGAATTGGAAATCCAATTTGTGCCGGATAGTTCCTCTTTAGCTCTCGTCAACGCCATTGAAGTTTTCGCTATTCCTGATGATCTTGAAATTACAAACGATCTCGACAAGAATCTGCATATACTTTACAGATTAAACGTAGGCGGCATGAAAATCACACCGGCAAATGATACCTTGGGAAGGACTTGGTTGCCTGACTATGACTTTCTCTTCAAAAAAGATTCTGCGAGGAACATTTCATCAATACAAAAGCCTAATTATGTGTCAGGGTCTCGGTCAGCGACTGAATTTACTGCTCCTGATTTCGTCTACCAGACAGCTCAGGCACTAGACCATAGCTCGAGTCGGGGAGCGGAGGGGATGTTAATGAACGTTACGTGGTCATTTAAGGTCAAAAGTGATCATAGACACTTCATCAGGATTCACTTCTGTGATATTGTGAAGGATTCACAAAACTCTGATTTCTATCTCTATGTAAACGGGTATCCGCGAGTAGATATAAAGCCTTCAGAGTATGGTGGGCCAGTGACTCCATTTTATAAAGATGTCGTGACTGTCTCTGATGGTTTTGGACACTTGAATATAAGTATAGGTAATAAGGAATCCAACAAGGATATTGTTTTTCTGAATGGTCTGGAGGTAATGGAGTTTTTGAGTAAATCTGATTCTGATCCTTCAGATGGAAACCGTTCTCACATTTACATCATCGCTGGTTGTGTTGCTGCCGCTATATTGGCTCTGGTCTTTACTTTGTTGTTTATAGTATTCTTGAAGCGAAGGAGACCGAAGAAGACAAAACCAGACGTTGAGGCCACTGTGTGGTCTCCATTACCATTAAACAGAGGTGGAAGCTCAGACAACAGACCAATCTCTCCATACAACAACTCACCATTACGCAACTTACACTTAGGCTTGACGATTCCCTTCAAAGACATTCTAAGAGCTACAAACAACTTCGACGAGCAGTTAATGATCGGGAAAGGCGGGTTTGGAGATGTCTACAAAGCTATTCTTCCCGACGGAACCAAAGCCGCAATCAAAAGAGGCAAGACCGGTTCAGGGCAAGGAATCCTAGAGTTCCAAACAGAGATTCAAGTCCTCTCAAGAATCCGCCACAAACATCTCGTAGCTCTAACGGGATACTGCGAAGAGAACGGCGAAATGATCCTCGTCTACGAGTTTATGGAGAAAGGTACGCTTAAAGAGCATCTATACGACTCTGACTTGCCTCCATTGACATGGAAACAAAGACTAGAAATCTGCATTGGAGCAGCTAGAGGATTGCATTACCTACACAGCAGTGGAACAGAAGGAGCAATCATACACAGAGACGTCAAATCCACAAACATACTACTAGACGAGAACACAACAGCTAAAGTCGCCGACTTTGGACTCTCCAAACTCACAATTCGTAATCAAGATCAAACCCATATGAGCACAAACATCAAAGGAACATTTGGTTACCTCGATCCAGAGTACCTCTCAACACACAACTTAACCGAGAAATCAGATGTTTACGCCTTCGGTGTCGTCCTCCTCGAGGTCCTATGCGCGAGACCAGCTCTGAATCCTTACCTCCCACACGAAGAAGTGAATCTCGCGGAGTGGGCGTTGTACTGCAAATCAAACGGAGTAATCGATGAGATCGTGGATCCGAATCTGATAGGTCAAATCGAGATGAACTCTCTGCTGAAATTCATGGAAATAGCGGAGAAATGTTTGAGAGAGTATGGAGATCAGAGACCGAGTATGGCGGATGTGATTTGGGATCTGGAGTATGTTCTTCAGCTTCAGACGATGACGATTCGTAGAGAGGCTCATGATGAAGAAGATAGTACGGCGATTGATTCAGGTGTGATCCCGAGGTTGATGGTGAGTGATTCGTTTAGTATGAACTCGTTTGTGGTGAAGGATGATGAATCGAGTCACAGATTTGGGAATACGGATTCGTCGGAGACTCGAGTTTTCTCACAGTTGAAGATCTCTGAAGCGAGATGATGTAATCATTTTTTATATCGTGTGTGAAAAATTTAAATTTGTTAGAAATGTGATGTCATTTTTATATCGTTTAATTAACTATTTTACTTTTAGCAATTTTCAGTTAAACATTATAACTTATGATAACTCAAAAATTATTAAATCGATGGTAAAATTGAAAGAAAAAAGAAGAAAAAAAAAAGTAGACTGAAAAAAATATGGAAAACTTGACAATTTTAAGAATCATTCAAAAATTATCCTTTGACAATTTTGGAAAAAACTTTCGGAGGAAAAAGAATATTGTTAAAGACCGTATAAAATATAGTATCTAAATATATGTCATTAATTATTTTCTAATAAATTTTTTAACATTAACATTAGGCGTTAAAAAAAAAAAAACCATATTAAGTAGTGCAAATGGTAGAGCAACAAAGCACATAGTAGAAAAATGTAGACCAAGTGTGTATGTTAGAGAATTTCAATCTCGTGCTATTGGCAAAGCAATTAGAGTACTTCTAAACATGGGTGTTTATTATTAACTATGTATACAAATATTATTATTTAATTTGATGAGTTGTTTATTTAGCGAAGAATTTTTCAAAATTTGATGACAAAAAAATTTTTTCAAAAATTTCTTAAATCTCTTGTTTAAGCAACTTTGAATATATGTTTTACCTATTTAAGCAACTCACATAATTTTGTATTAATAATTTTGTTCTCTCTAAAATAAGCAACTTGAGTTAACAACCACCAATAGAGGTGGTTTTCTTAGAACGCCTATTTACCACGAGCTTTGCTTTGTGGTATATTTCTTGACATTTTAAATTCTCTAGTCATCTATAAATCCAAATATAAAACATGTTCTTGTATGGTTAGCTGAGTATGTTGGCAAAAAAAAAAGAGTGCTTACCATTGGTCATCAATATTTCTCAAATTTTGTTATGAATTGCTTAAGTTAACAAAAAGCAAATTTTATTATAAAAATTTTGGTAAGCATTGGAAGTGCTTACCATTGGAGAGGTGCTCTAAGTGTTTACTTTGGAGACGATTTTGGTCACGTCACATTACGATCGAAAAACTTGAAAAATCCAAAAAATTTGAACCCGCTAAATATGCAAGCAAGTACAAAACGTTTCTGCTAGGCTAGTCATAGCTCTCATCGTTTTATCCGTCAGATTCTCAATTTCTAATCTCTCAAAAAATTTGTTTTGTGTTGCTTCCACAACTTAGCTGAATTCATGTGGCTTTGCTACACGTGTTTGTTTGCATGAGACGTGAACATATCTTTAGTGACGGGTGGGGAAAGTTCTATGAAAAACATATTTTTATTTTTGCATGATCTTTGCTTTCTCGCTTACGTTATAAACTAAGCTACAACTTTTAAACTCCTTCAGTTTTCATTTCCACACAAACAAATTCGTAGATCTAAACAATGGAAACACATTACCTACTTTTATCTCTTGCCTTCTTCGTTTTCATTACTTTTAAGCTTTGGTTTAGTAAACAACATAGCAAGTTTAACCTACCACCAAGTCCGGGTAGGCTAATGCCATTGATAGGACACCTACACCTCCTGAAGATGCCTCTTCACCGCACCTTCCTCTCTTTCTCTCAATCCTTAGGTGACGCCCCAATCTTCTGCCTCCGCCTCGGAAACCGTCTCACGGTTGTCGTCTCTTCCTACGACGTCGCTGAAGAATGTTTTACTAAAAACGACATTGTTTTGGCCAATAGGCCAGACTTAATTCTCGGTAAACATATTGAGTACAACTCCACCACTATGACTAGTGCGCCTTATGGTGACCACTGGAGAAACCTGCGCCGCATCGCGACCTTGGAGATTTTCGCGTCGCATAAGCTTAACGGTTTCTTATCTGTCCGTAAAGATGAGATCCGACACTTGTTACTACGTCTCTCCAAAAACTCGCAACATGTATGTGACCTTCTACATATATTTAACATTATTATAACCTATTTATTTGTAGTATTGCCACTTTATCACTGCATGCATGGGTCTAAACCTGGCAATGTGCGTGCATGTGATCAAATTTGAGAGTTGATCATTTTTTTTATGCATGTGAATATGATTAGGGGTTTGCGAAGGCGGATGAGACATTTGCTATTTGAGTTGACTATAAATAACGTGTTTAGAATGGTAGCCGGGAAACGATTTTATGGTGAGGGCACTGAGCAAGACGACGTTGCGAAGGAAGTGAGAAAGCTTATGGATGAGACTGTGTCCGTAGCTGGAGCCGGGAATGCAGCTGATTACTTACCAATCTTGCGTTGGATCACAAATTTTGAGAAACGCATCAAGAGGTTAGCGACTCGGCTCGATAAGTTCTTGCAGAGTCTAGTGGATGAGAAACGTGCGGTTAAAGAAGAGGGTAACACAATGATTGATCACTTGCTTTCTCTCCAAGAAACTCAGCCTGATTATTATACAGACGTCACTCTTAAAGGAATCATAGTTGTAAGTATTGACTAAGCCTAATATTATATAATCAAGCTTTATAGTGTGGCTGAGAATGAATTTGAATGTTACAGGTTATGATAATTGCTGGATCTGAGACTATAGCATGGACTTTAGAATGGGCGATGATGAATTTGTTGAACCATCCAGAAGTATTAAAGAAAGCTAGGACCGAAATCGATTCGAAAATCGGTTTCGACCGGTTAATAGATGAATCGGATACTACAAATCTCCCTTATCTCCAACGTATCGTGTTGGAGACTCTACGTCTTCACCCGGCAGCTCCAACAAATGTTCCACATATGACCTCAGATGATTGCAAGTTGGGAGGATACGTTTGTTCGGATTCTTTTCTTTTTCGAATGAGGCTAGTGGAGACAAATTCCTTCCGACGTTCCACGTGGTACGATGTTATTGGTGAACATATGGGCCATACATAGAGACCCGTCTATATGGGAAGATCCAGATATGTTCAAGCCAGAGAGGTTTGAAAATGAAAAGCAAAAGCAAAAGTTGTTGTCGTTTGGGATTGGAAGACGATCTTGTCCCGGGAATGGCCTAGCTCATCGGCTAGTGAGCTTGGCTCTTGGATCGATGGTTCAGTGTTTCGAATGGCAGAGAATTGGGGATGAATATGTTGACATTAGAGAAGAAGAAGTCGTGGCCTTGATGCGTCCAGCGACACCGTTGCTAGCTATGTGTAAAGCTCGTCCCTTTGTCCATAAGATTCTTGATGCTTAAGTGTAACTTGCCTTTATTTGTCCTTTGGGAAAATTAAAAACGAGACAAGACTGTCGTGTACTTTAAAGTTTCATATGTACTCTTACATGTGTTAACACATGGTTTTTAAGGATAAGTTCTTTCTTTGGAACACAATTCTCATTTTTTGGTGTCAAATCACAATACTCGAGTTTTAGATTGCCGACATTGTTTTCGTCGACTGGTTAACATGGCATCAGAACCAACGAAATCAAATAAACCAGAGTCAGTAAACATAGTTAGCGAGATCTGGTGTTTGTAGTGATGGTGCATGGTTGGTGACAGTGGGTGGTTTGGTGTTAAAGACAGTGATGATGGGTCATTTACTTAACAAATAACAACAGAGAAGAAAAAATAGTTAAGTTATTCAAGTCATTTTGCATGTCTCTCCATTGGTACAATATTGGAAGGTCATTTATGTACTATAATTTAATTTTTATTTCAAGGTTATTTTGTGTATCTATTCTAATTATTTATGTTGATTTGTATACTACACGTGTTTGGTTGCATGAGACGTGAACATATCTTTAGTGACTGATGGGATAAATTCCATGACAATACCAAACTTTTAACGTCTTTTTTGCATGCTCTTGTTTACGTTATAAATTTAAGCTATAAACTTAAACTTTTAACTTTAGTGTTCATTTCAACACAAAACAAAATTCGTAGTTATATCCGTTACTCTATCTCTGGCTATATTGATTTATTATTAATGTTGATATATTACACTTGTTTGGTTGCATGAGACGTGAACATATCTTTAGTGACGGATGGGATAAATTCCATGAAAATGCCAAAATTTGAACGTCTTTTTTGCATGATCTTGTTTACGTTATAAACTTTAGCTATAGCTTTTTGAACTTTAGTGTTCATTTCAACACAAAACAAATTCGTAGTTAGATCCGTTACTCTATAGCTGGCTATGTTTATAATTTCCATGCATGTGACAGTACCAAAATTGTAACGTCTTTTTTTTTTTTTGCATGCTCTCTCTTATATTATAAACTAAGCTATATATATAACTTTTTTTTTAACTTTAGTGTTTATTTCAACACAAACAAATTCGTAGTTAGATCATTTACTCAATATATAGTTAGCTATATAATTTATTATTAATGTTGATATCTTACACTTGTTTGGTTGCATGAGACGAGAACATATCTTTAGTGACGGATGGGATAAATTCCATGAGTCATGCTTTAATCATGGACCATGATAATATCTTGAATCATGGATGGATGGACCATGACAATACCAAAACTGTAACGTCTTTTTTATGCATGTTCTTGCTTACGTTATAAATTAAGCTGTAACTTTTAACTCCAGGATTCATTTCACACATATTCGTCATGGAAACTCATTTCCTAGTTTTGTCTCTCGCCTTCTTCGTTTTCATTGCTCTTAAACTTTTGTATGGTAAACGAAAGAGCAAATTTAACCTACCACCAAGTCCGGCTAGGCCACTACCGTTCATTGGGCACCTTCACCTCCTAAAAATGCCGCTTCACCGCACACTCCTCTCTCTCTCTCAGTCCCTAGGTGACGCCCCAATCTTCTCCCTCCGCCCCGGAAACCGTCTCATGGTTATCGTCTCTTCCTACGCCATCGCTGAAGAATGCTTTACAAAAAACGACATTGTTTTGGCCAATAGGCCAGAGTTTATTGTAAGGAAACATATTGAGTACAACTCCACCACTATGACTAGTGCGCCTTATGGTGACCACTGGCGAAACCTGCGCCGCATCTGCACCCTTGAGATCTTCTCGTCACATAAGCTCAACGGCTTCTTATCTGTCCGTCACGATGAGACCCGACACTTGTTACTACGCCTCTCCAAAAACTCCCAACATGTATGTCAGCTTCTACATATATATCTTAACATTATATATATCCAAATAAGCTAGTAACCTAGGGATTTGTAGTATTGTCCACTCTATCATGACATGGGTACGTAGTAGTATGAAAATGAAAATCTGAGAGTTGACCATTTGTTTATGTGACTATAATCAGGGATTTGCAAAGGTGGAGATGAGAAATTTGCTTTTTGAGTTGACTATAAATAACATTTTTAGAATGATAGCCGGGAAACGATTTTATGGTGAGGGCACTGAGCAAGACGAGGTTGCTTCGCAAGTGAGAGACCTACTAGACGAGATTATGGCTAGTGCTGGCGCCGGGAATGCAGCTGATTACTTACCAATCTTGGGATGGATCACAAATTTTGAGAAACGCATCAAGAAGTTAGCGAGTCGGCTTGATAAGTTCTTACAGAGTCTTGTGGATGAGAAACGTGCTGATAAAGAAAAGGGTAACACTATGATTGATCACTTGCTTTCTCTCCAAGAAACGCAACCTGATTATTACACAGACGTCATTATTAAAGGAATCATAGTTGTAAGTATTTAGTAACCCTAATAATATACTAATCAATCTTTATGGTGGTTGATGATAACATTTTGAACTTACAGGTTATGATATTCGCTGGATCTGAGACAATAGCATGGACTTTAGAATGGGCAATGTTGAATTTGTTGAACCATCAAGAAATATTGGAGAAAGCTAGGACCGAAATCGATACGAAAGTCGGTTTTGACCGGTTAATAGATGAATCGGATACTACAAATCTCCCTTACCTACAACGGATTGTGTTGGAGACCTTACGGCTTTACCCGGTAGCTCCAACACTTGATCCACATATGACCTCAGAGGATTGCATGTTGGCTGGATACGACGTTCCGCGCGGTACGATGTTATTGGTGAACATATGGGCCATGCATAGAGACCCGTCCATATGGGAAGATCCAGAAATGTTCAAGCCAGAGAGGTTTGAAGATGAAAAAGAAAAGCAAAAGTTGTTGGCGTTTGGGGTTGGACGACGAGCTTGTCCAGGGATTGGCCTAGCGAATCGGCTAGTGACCTTGGCTCTTGGATCGATGGTTCAGTGTTTTGAGTGGGAGAGAGTTGGAGAAGAATATGTTGAGAGTAGAGAAGAACCCATGACCTTGATGCGTCCGGAGACACCGTTACTAGCCATGTGTAAAGCTCGCCCCATTGTACACAAGGTTGTAGTTGGTTAGGGCATTTTAGTGAATGAATTATCTTATGATGTATGATAAGTTAATTCACATGTTAATCATCAAAAATCAAAATCGTCGCTTTTATTAATAAAAGATGAAACAAATTCTCCCAAAACGTCAGTCTTAATTCTTGTCCAACATTATTTTATTAAACTGTTTCTTAAGATGATGCAACTCATGATACTATAATCTACATTACTCTATATTGCTAAAACTAATAATTACCCTTACGTACTCATGATGACGACATTTCGGTCTACAGGTACAGGTTCGATCGAGATCAATTTCATACAAAAAACTGTGTCTCGACTCTCGAATGGAACGACACGATAAACACCAAATCAATCAGGGAGAAAACGAAAACAAATGATGCATTACTTGACCGTACAATTTTTAGTTATAAGTTAAGGGTTTAAAAATTTTTTGATCACACAAAAATATAATCTAAGAATGTGCGTCAATCAAATAACATTATAACAAAAATTGAACAAATCATGAAAAAAATACGAATTCACAACAGAAATATCGTGTCATGTTTACGTGATAAATATAATAATTTTTATTTTGTTTTTTTTCAAACACTTGATTCATTCATTCATAAAGCCAAGTACAAAGAGAAGGATTCAAAGATTCATAACAAGAAGAGACATTCCCCAATGCCAAACAAAGATAGATAAAAAGGATCGACAAGGAATCCAAGAGAGCGTGATAAATATAATTTAAGTTAACTTTTTATTGTTTTACATAAATTTTGTTTTCAATAACAGAGAGTTTGAAAAGACATATTAAAATCATTAATTGAATAACAAGTGATTTTAAAAATATTTTAAAATCTTCTAAAATGTCAAATTCAATACACCCCCTAAAATTGCAATAATTAGTTAACGAGGCTAACATGCTAACTTAATATAACTTAAGAGTTTCATGCTAACTTAAATTTGCAATAATTAGTACCACATACATTTCATATACTATAGATATAAAAATTTACTAAATATAATATACGTTTTCAGTATATAAAAATATCACAAATCATTTATTTACCAAACATAGTTTTATTTGTTAATTTATATATAGGCAAAAATTAATATATATGTACAAAAAATTTATATGTATACGTACAACAATCAAACCATATCACCCAATTAATCTGTAAATAATTCACAGTATAATATTAATTTATACTTTTGTTATAACTTTAATACTTGTGTTGTAAAAGAAAAAATACAGCCTCGGGAAAAAAAAACGAAAATATGAACAAACAAAGAATCAAGTGATAAAAGAAATTTGAAGATTCAATTAAATATTTTAATTTTGTTTGGTACTAAATGTTATAAAAGTGCTTTTAAAGCTGTAACAAAAATTGGTGACAAAAATAAGGTGTATTTCAATTTTTTTTTGAAAAATGGTTCTCTTTCTTTTTACATTGTTCCCTTTGAATTTACAGTGGTTCACATGAACCATTGTTGCCACGTTCCTTATGTGTTCTTATAGCTTATGAGAATGTTAGACAAATGTTTCATCAGATGCCATATGGAAGAACTCATGCACATGCAATAAAATGCAATTCTATTAAGAGGATGCAAACAAAGCTATCAAGTAAGACCAAGCCAATACATGGTGATCATCATTACAAATAGACATATCGTTAAAAGCTGCATATCTTCCATATATATGACACTTGTCTTTTAATCTCTTATAAGCTTAGCCATATATAAGATACCATGTTGGCTTTGTTTCTCACGCCCAATACCTCCAAGAATTGATTGGTGCCGTTAATTTAGTTGCAACCCAAACATTATCAGTTACCAAGTAGAGAAATTACTCATTGGTTAGCTAGGCTAAGGATATGTGATGATAAGTAGATAGGTAGAGATAGATATCAACATAGACCATTTTTGCTCCCCATGCATACATGTGGCGATTAAATACTTATTTAAGTCGATAAAAACTAAATACTTAGTTTTTGTGCCCTTGATTAATTTACTTTTAAGAAAATCATATAAACATTGACAAGTTACTCATCAGCGTCACACTAATGTGATCACAATTTATATATAATTATACAACGATCTAAACAATTTGACAGAGATAATTAACTAATTCGGAGCAAACTCTCTCGCTTTCCACATACATCATTTGCTCGTAAGCCTACAAGGCAGCTTTGTTTGAAGACTACGGAGTTACTAGAGTATGACGTTCAGGAAAGTAAACGTACGTTTAAGAAGTTGCCACCTTCTGAATGGGGTGATCATTTCCTTCGTCTTCCCATCAATGTCTCAGTGAGTTCGTTACACATACATATATATATATATATATATATATACGTTTGTTGCATGAGATATTAATAAGCTGGATTCTTATAGGAGATGGATGCGGTTACAAGAGAGATGAACGCAATAAAGCCAACAGCAAGGAAGATGCTCATGTATTCACAAGACGTGGAAGAGACAAAGAAGAGAATTCTTACAATCTACTTGCTGGTCGCACTTGGTCTCGCATACCACTTCGAGGATGAGATAGATGATAATTTGAAACACAGCTTCGAAAACATGGAGACCGTTATGGCCGGTGAAACTGACTTGTCCACAGTTTCGGTCATATTTTGGGTTTTCAGGACATATGGATATAACTTGTCTTCTGGTAAGGAGTATATCAAACTGATGTTCAATAATTATACTACTATGTCTCCTTTAATTAAATTATATGCAACATGGTCTATTTTGTAAACAGACGTGTTTAAGAGATTTAAAGGGGAGGATGGGAAGTTTAAAGAATGTCTTAAAGAAGATGCCAAAGGTCTACTAAATTTGTATGAAGCCACACAATTAGGTACGACCACTGACGATATTTTGGACGAAGCCATGATCTTCGCGTCGAGCCACTTGGAGCGTTTAGTAGGTGGAACGTGCCCGCCTCATATCTCAAGGGTTATACGTAATGCGCTTTACATGCCTCAGCACCACAATGCTGATATATTATTCGCAAGTGAATACATTAGGTTCTATAAACAAGAAGATGCTCACAACAAAGTCCTACTCGAGTTGGCTAAGCTCAATTTCAAGTTCCTTCAACTCCATTGGATTAACGAGCTGAAAACTCTAACCAAGTAGACTACTTACTGTATCAGTCACTTCTATACAATTTTTTCAAAGAATAATTTAATTACAAGCTGCCGCGCTAATACATGTTTTTGCAGATGGTGGAATGACCAAGATCTTGCATCTAAGCTCCCACCTTACTTTAGACACAGAGTAGTGGAGTGCCATTTATATGCAGTGATTATGTATTTCGAGCCACAATATTCACTAGGCAGAATCAAATTGGCTAAGTTATTGGTGCTCCTGACCGTTACGGATGACTCTTGTGATAGATATGGTTCTGTTCCTGAAGTTGCAAAGTTTCTTGACTGCATCGAAAGGTAATATGCTATACATATAATAGCAAGCTTAATAAATGTTTTAATCGATGAGAGAGCTCCAATGAAACGACGAAGAAGTAGAATAAATTATTACCAAAAGAGCCTATAGTTTAACTGGTAAAGATCTCTGACAAAAGCTTAGAAATCGCTGGTTCGGTAACTAACAAAATCTGTTATTTCTTACTAAGAACTTATGGAAGAATGTTTCGGTTTACTTAATTGTAAAATACAATAATCCTTCTGGTTTTACTTAAACTATTCAATAGACCAATGTCCAAAAGTATGTACGTGTATGCAGATGGGATCCAGATCTTGGGGAGAGTCTGCCAGATTATCTCAAAACCGTCTTCAAGTTTACTATGGACGTTTTTGAAGATTGTGAACGAGCGGGGAAGAGTGAAGAAGGACGAAGCTACAATGTGGAAGGTGCTTTAGCAGAGGTACATAATACATATATTTTCACATATTAATGCAGTTTACATTACAATTTACATTAATAGAATGATACTTAATAATGCAGTTCAAGATACTCCAGCGATCCCACCTTAACTATGTTGAGTGGGCAAAGACAGATAAGGTGCCAACATTTGAAGAGTATTTAGAGGTTGGGGGCGTGGGGGTCACAATGTATGCAACTATAGCATTGGGACTTCTCGGCTTGGGACCGAGTGCTACTAGGGAAGAAGGTTATGCTTGGCTAAAATCTAGACCAAAACTCGTTCATGATTTGGCATCAAAGGGTCGTATAATGAATGACAAGACTGGCTTCAAGGTACATAATTATACGAGTCACATTATTTCAAAATCTCTTCTTCTAACTAAGTAATTAAACATGAATGCTATGAATAGGATGACATGAGCCGAGGTTTTATCGCAAACGCTGTCAACTATTATATGAATGAATTCGGAGCTACTGAAGAGGAAACATATAAGGCGTTTCATAAAATGGTTAGAGACCTGGAGAAGTCGGTGAACACAGAGCTCTTGAAGACACATAGAAGAGTGCATCGTGAAGTCCTATCTCGAGCCATTAATTGTGGGAAAATGATTGATGTTACCTACAGATCCCACGACGGGTACACTCGTCCCAAAGGACAATTCACAGAGTTTGTCGAATCATTGTTTGTCGACTACATGGATGCGTCTTTGATGGTAAGTTAAGGGTTTTGGTTGAAACACTTGGTTCCACTCTAGCTCTTGTGATGTAGCATGTATCTCTTTCTACCTTATGAGTTTTATTGATCAACATGTAATATGCCAATAAACAGATCAATTTAAGCATAGTTTGTTTAAATATATTTGTTTGGCCCAAAAAAAAAACAAAAAAAAAACATACAAAAATGTTTCACTCCAATTTCCCCAAATTTCAACATTCAGCTTCCTTAACCTATAGAGTGTGAAAATAAGCAAAATCAATCCATATATGACATTTATATTTTCTATGTCCAACCTAAAATAAGCTATTGGAGTAATAAGGAGGAGAAGTAAGCTACTTCCACACAAAACTCGAAAAATATTAGATTTTATTAGTTTAATGTGTTATATAATGAATCAAAACAGTTTAAAGAAAAATAATAAAAATATGGAGTATTACAGTTTTAAATCTTGACAAAATCTTTTAAATATCTATATTATTTCCATTTTTTTTTTCATTGACTTTTTTAAAAAATATTGTATTAAATGCAATAATATTCTTCACTTTTGAATATAAGAATTTCTTTTATAACTGTGTTTCAAAAATACTAATGTGGTTTACATGTAAATTAAAATCTAAGTAACGATTGTGATGTCGTTGATGAACAAGTCCAGATTACAAGCTGAAGTTCCACCAGGTGCCAACGCCGATACTGCTCCGTGCTTCAGCTCCGCCGCTCTCCTCCTCATATCCACGGCGGCAGGACCTTCCGTCACAGCCTCAATGCATCTCTCAACCTCAGCAACCTTAAGCTCTCCGTCAACAACATCATCCCTCATCCTTACTCCAATACCAAACACATCCACAAGCAATCTCGCATCAAGCGGCTGATCTATCCAAGACGGGTACGCCACCACCGGGACACCAGTCACCACCGTCTCGACCGTCGAGTTCCATCCACAGTGCGTGACGAAGCAAGAGATCGCCTCGTGGCTCAGTATCTTCTCTTGATTACCCCATCCGATAACAACTCCTTGTCCTTCTTTCACCATCTCCTGCAAGACTTGGACGTTTTCGCCTTTCTCCTTCGGACGTATCACCCATAAAAATGGAACTCCTCTGTTTCTCAATGCCGTCGCTACGGTCTCGACTTGATTCTCTGACCATTTGAGTATGCTTCCAAAAGATATGTAAACCACTGAAGACCTAACTTGCTTGTCAAGCCACTCCATACAGTAATCATCAGATTTCCACAAATCTAGGTTTTTCCCAACTAGGGTTTTTTCCTCATCAGCTCCCAAGAGAAATGGAGAAACCAGAGGACCAATTGGGATGATAGGTTTCAAATCAAACATCGATTCGATTATATCCGATTCGAGTTCGTAAAATGAATTAGCCAAAACCCATTTCACATCTTTCAAGCAATCTACGAATTCCGCTATTAGCCTATTGAAAGGAGCACCATCAGAAGGTAACATCATGGTCGGGAGATCTCGAACCTCTAATAACGGTAAGGCTGGAAGCTTTACGGTTTGGTTCGGATCTTCGAGATCGGGGAAAGAGTCTGTCTTCATGTAATAACGGTAATAAACCGAGAAAACAGCACAAGCTTCGATCCATAGGATTGCACAAGGAATGTTATGAGCAGCTGCAACAGCTGGAACCCATGGAGTGAAAGGAACAGTGATAATGCAAGCAAACCTCTTTTTTTCGATGATTTCCGACAAATTCTTCGGTCCGAATTTTCTCAATGACTCTGCGAGAGGCTCGGGGTCTCTTGGATCGTCTTTAGGCAGACCGTCAGAGAAGAACACAAGGTCCACAAGGCTATGTGGTTCGTCGGTGGATGAGACCTGGCCACGGGCTTGTTCAGTGGTCGCGAGAGTAAAGTGTAGGTTGGCTCGTGCGAGATGTTTGGCGAATTTGAGCATTGGATTGAGGTGGCCTTGGAATGGTAACGCTACCATTAGAACATGAGTTTCTTGAACCTCAACACGTCCCATAATTATTTTAGATTTAGAGGTATTAGTTTTTGAGTTTCGCATGAAATTATGTGTTCTAATTTTTTTGTGGTATATATAATAATGGTTGTTCAACAAAAGATCTTACATTTATGATTAATTGTGATATTGGTAATACAATCTATCATTGTGATTTGCTGACTATTAATGTTGGTCCATATTGATTTTAAAATTAATGATTTTCTAAATTTCTTACAAAAATTGTTGACAAACATTCATAATCTTTACCAATTTCTATAATGGCAGTCAATTACAAATTTACCTTATTTATGAAAAATGTTTGATTATCTTTCAAAATTTTAAAATAGTGTATTTTCTCTTCCTATATGTATTTTTTAATATGACTTCCTTAGTAATTTCTCTTACTATATTTTTTTAATATTGACTTCCTTAGTAATTGACTTCCATACAAATTCCTTAATATTGACTTCCTTAGTAATTTCTCTTACTATATATTTTTTATGTAAAAAAATTTAAGAGATTTTGTTGTGATTAATACTATTTATTTTTCCTAATGAAATCCCTAATTAAAAAAATATGATTGAAAAGCTAAACTGGAATCTACAATACATTAATACAAAAGTATTATGATATATGATATCCTAAAACAATAAATTACATGACATGCACTCTTCTCCTTCGGGCTTTGTCACTCGGTGAGATGGAACTCTTCTTTTTCAATAAAATTTTTAAATATTAGTTGAAATTAAAATATTAGTCATTTACTATATTCCTACATTGTACTAATAACATGATTTATTAGCTTTGTTGGTGGTGTTCGGGGAATTCATATTCACACCCATCCCCATAGAGAACGGAAGCTCAAGTGTTTGCTTGGACCAAACATGTTCCATCACATCCTCTAGTATCCATAAATCAAAACTAAGGATGTCTCTCAATGGAAGCTAACTTGCCTTTGTATTCAATCAATATTGATTCACTCTCCCAAGACATAACACCCCTAGGTGCTTTGATAAAACCTAGCCTCTCATATCTGAGATCAAAACACACAATCACGTGGCTCTCCTCATATCGGGTTGGGGGTACCATAATATAGGAAACCATTGATGCATATTGGTTTAGTTATAGTGTAATAAGGCAGGGTGGTGACCTTATTGCGTGTCCATGAAGATTCTCCTCCAAGTGTTAAAACTTGGTGCACTAGAGAATCATGGTCCCGGTAAGTAAGAGACACTAAGGTCAATGCTTTGAACTGATCACCAACAGGATCATATCCCAACCTATACCAGATCCAGATGGAGGAACAAGGATGAAGAGAAGACAATGACATCTTTTTAGGGTTTTCTTTCTTTTTCTAGGCCCAATTTTAGTTTACTCAGCCAGTCCCAGTCATATATATACTCTTCTCCTTCGACTTGGCCCAGTTTGTAGTTTTGTATTAGTCCAAAGACCCTCTTTTATTGACATATACAAGAAGCATAACATTGACATATTTTTATCGTCTAGTTTTTATTCCATATCGACTAACTAGTACATAACAGTAGTAAGTATGATATAAACATAGTTAAGGATGACTAAGCAGCGCAAGTGGCGCAGGTACAACCCTCACCACAGGTGCAGCCCTTGGCAGTGGTTTGAGTTCGAGTCTTGGGGCAAGTACAAGGGTTGCAGCCACAGTGATCTCCACACGGACACGTGATGTGCTCTTGATCCCCACCAGATGCTTCACTCATCCTACACCTACATGAATCAAAACACTCGATAGTTAAATTAAACAAGACCTCAGTCTTGGAGCATATTAAGAATAAAGAATCAACCTGCAAGATTCACCACCAGGACATGGAGAAGGGCAGCCACAACGATCGTTGCAGCTAGTAGCGCCGGAGCTTCCTTTGCCTGTGTCAGCCATTTTTGTTTTCCCTGCTTTGTTTCTTTCTCACGCCTCTCTCTTTTTACATTGTGGATGATAAAATTAAAGAACACTGAGCAGCAATAGGAATGAATTCGTGGCCTCTATGTCGGAAGGCATGTGTCTCCTCTAACGCGTGTCGTGGCTACTGACTAAGCATGTGCGACGTACTCACGACTCTTCTTACAAAAGGATAATATAGAAGAGTAGTTATTGTTTTCTTAGAAAAATAAATTATATCGTCAATTTTATAATTAATAAATCATCTCAATTAATAATAACGATCTTAAAAAAATAACGATCTAATTTATAATTACAGTATTTTTATACGCATTAAATAGTTTTACTGTAACATATATTATATTTTTAAAATTTAAAAGAGTGGACTTGAACTATTTATTAAGAAAGCTTTAGGCCTTGACTGAATGTAATTTTTCAAATAGTTTTTAGTTTTAGATTTTCCAAAAATCCATTTTCTAGCCATTCAAGATTTTATGAAAAGTAGTTTTCCTATATACAATAGCGAATCTAGATTTCTATAGATTTTACTATTTTTTTAACAAAATCAAAAATCTCATTTCAATGGATTTTTGAGATGTATGCTACGTAACAATTTTTTAATTTTTGCTTTTTGTTTTTATTTTTATTTTGCAGAATCTAAAAACTAAAAAACTAAAATCTATAATTTAAAAACTAAAATCTATAATTCAAAACCAGCTTAAAACTCCCAAACATTTATGGCCTTAATTTGATATTTTATTTACAAAGTTATTTTAATAAATTTGACGGTGATGAATAATGACGATATACACATTATAACATATCACCTACAAACTATAACCATGAAGAAGTCAATACCAAAAAAAAAAAAAAACCATGAAGAAGTTTTCATGCATGTGAGGAAAATTCCAACGACGAAAAAGACACACACGACACACATCGTTGCCTTCAAATTAGATAGCAGAAAACAAAGGCAACTAGAGGTGGGAGTCTGGGAGAAGGTAAAATTTCATGGTAATGATTAAAAAAAAAAAATGGGAATATGCAATTTTTGTATAGAGAATGTACAAAAGTTATTTGGAAATATAGACTCTCTATGGGTTAATGTTCTAACAAAAAGTATAATCTACAAAAATTTATTATGAAAAGTATATAATCTTGAGAGATTGTGAGACTGTTTTCGTAAACCTTGTTTTATGAAGGTTGAGATGGCGTAGGTAGACAAGCAAGCCAACTCTATGAGATATAGCCACAAAGACGTTTTCATGCGAGGGAACTCCAACGACGTGAGAGGATGATTATACAAGAGATTCTAGACACACGACACATATAGTTATCCTTCTAATTAGATGAAGCGGAAGAAAAGAGTAACTAGAGGTGGAAGATGGTAAAATTGAATGGAAAGGATGAAAAAATATGACAATATATATGCAATTGTTGTTTGGAGAATATACAAAACTCTTTGGCAATCTTTTACAATCATTAAACTTTACTTTTAATTATTTGTTTTCTACACAATTTTAAGAGTCTTTATAAACTTCATTTTAATCACAAACCAATAACATCCTCATAGTTGATAATTTATATGCATCTCTATGCTCTTATATAAGCTGCTTATACTAGTTTTTATTAGGACAGATGCAAAGTTACAATAAATCGACAAACAATGCAAGTAACTAGAGTCAGGTGGTTGTGATATCACTGATGAACGACTCCAAATTCATAACCGAAGAGCCACCAGGTGCCAACGCTGACCTCGCGACATCCTTCAACTCCGCCACTCTCCTCCTCATATCCTTCGCACCTGGTCCTTCTGTCACGGCCTCAATGCACCTTTCCACTTCCTCGACCTTAAGCTCACCATCGATAGCGTCATTCCTCATCCTTACTCCAATTCCAAACACATCAACCAGCAACCTTGCGTCAATAGGCTGATCAGTCCAGTTCGGATACGCCACCACTGGAACACCAGCCACGACCGTCTCTATCGTCGAGTTCCAACCACAATGCGTTAAGAAACAAGAGATCGCCTCGTGGCTCAGTATCTTCTCTTGTTGACCCCAGTCGATAACAACTCCTTGACCTTCTTGAACCATCTCTTGCAAAACTTCAACGTTTTGAGCTTTCTCCTTTGGTCTTATCACCCAGAGAAACGGAACTCCTCTGTTCTTCAGCGCCTGCGCTATGGCCTCAACCTGATTCTCCAATGATTCAAGCATGCTTCCAAAAGAAATGTACACAACCGAAGACCTAGCTTGCTTGTCAAGCCACTCCATACAACAATCATCAGATTTCCACAAATCTAGGTTTTTACCATCTAGGGTTTCGTCCTCATCAACTCCCAACAGAAATGGAGAAACAAGAGGACCAATAGGGATTACAGGTTTCAAATCAGACATAGATTTGATTATGTCTGATTCAAGTTCATAGAACGAATTAACCAAAACCCATTTCACATACCTCAAGCAATCAGCAAAATCCGCCATGAGATTGTTGAAGTGAGCTCCATCAGAGGGTAACATAAACGAAGGAAGATCTCTAACTTCAAGCAACGGTAAAGCTGGTAGCTCCACCGTCTGATTCAGATCTTCAAGATCAGGGAAAGAGTTCGTCTTCATGTAGTAACGGTAATAAACCGAGTAAGCTCCACAAGCTTGTATCCATAGGATTGCACAAGGGATGTCATGAGAAGCTGCAACAGCTGGAACCCATGGAGTAAAAGGCACAGAGATGATACAAGAGTATCTCTTCTCTTCGATGATTTCAGACAAGTTCTTGGCTCCAACTTCATTAAGTGCCTTCAAGAGAGTGGCGGGGTCTCTTGGATCATCTTTAGGCAGACCATCGGAGAAGAACACAAGGTCCACCGGAAATTTTTCTGAGGTGGCGGCGGCTGAGAGGCGGTCACGGGCTGGCTCGATAGTGGCGATAGTGAAGTGTAGATTCTTTGATAATGACGAGAGATGTTTGGCGAGTTTGAGCATTGGATTGATGTGACCTTGGAAGGCTAGTGTAACCATTAGGACATGTGTTTCTTGACCCTCACAGCTTCCCATTGTTGTTTTTTTTTTCTTTAGTTTAGTTTTCTTTAAGACTTGAGTTACTACATGAAACTGTGAGTCATATATATATATTACGAGAGGTTTAGCTTAATGAAGACATAAAATTAAGTTTGTGGTAAGAAAATCTAGCTATAGTAATGGCTAAACCAATCAAATGTTTGCAAATGGATTCTTAATTATCTTACTTTTTCTTTTACTAATTATGTTCATTGGTCATCTGGTCAGTTACAAATCTTATCTCAGTATATTAACTAAATATTATATTAGTGTGACACATTGACAGTTACAATAATCATACTTTGATATGTGTCAAAAAAGTTTTATGAGATTTTAACATCTGTTTAGTGTTATGTTTCTTTCTTTATAAAGTCCTTCTTATATACTAAACTAAAAAAGTGCAAAAATATAGAATTGAAATTCGTATATGGGTAAATATAAACAGCGATAAGGTTTCCAAAAACAAATAAGGAATCAAAAGAAGTGTGTAGGTGGCATGTACGATGGACGAAATTAAAAGTTAATCTGCTAAATTGTGTAAGTGTTAACTGTGTGTTGAGCCATCAATAGCCCACAATTGGTTCAAACGGTCCAAAAATTGAAAATCTATCGGTTGAAGTGTTAAATTTTATCCGTTTGAGTCATGTAAAATATATAATTTTTTTTCATTTTAAACGGTCCAAATGACTTGTAAAATATATATTTTTTTCATTTTAAACTATAAGATATTTTTAGACAAAAGCGCAATTTTTTTTTGAAATACAATATATTTTTTTATACTTTATAAAAATTGAAACGGAAATTACATCCAAATTTAAAACATTTGCGTACAACCAAAAAGTGATTAAAGCTTAAAAAGAAGAAAACACAATCGAACAAGTGAATTAAATGTTGTTTTTTCGCAAGTCTTATACGCTAATAGATTCTATTATCCTTCATATTTGTCTCTTTCCGTAATCTAACATGATCGTCTTGTTTGGCTATCGTTCTTTTGACGAACTCCAATAAATTTTGAAACAATTAATGTTTGCATTCAATCTGTTACATCACTTTCCAACAAAACATCGGTATGAGTCATAACTTATAATATATATTAGTTTTTTTAAACTATAAGATGTTTTTGTCTAAAAAAGTAAATTATTTGTTTTTTCTTTTTTTTGAAAATAATACATTATTAATTAGGTGATTAAATCATTATTCTAATTATATAAAAAATGATTATAAAATATTTTAAAAAAATAAAAGTACCAAATAACATAAAATCTGCATTAACATATGCAAACATCTTACATAATAATAATAAAAAATTCTTAAATATTTTATTCTATGGAACGAATGAGGCGTGTCTTTCTTCTAGTTTGGCTTTCCAAACCGTTTGAAGTAATAAAAAGACAAAATGACTTGTATTACTCATTATAGAATGAAAATGAAAATAAAGAAAATATAACATCCGAACCCGAATCCGAACGGATATCCGAATGCCGTTTGGTTGATACTGCAAACAAATTATATGAAATGAAAAATACTGTTATTGATGTTGCATCAAATTATGACATACATGTATTGGAAAATGTTCCAAAACCAAAGAAGGTGAAAAGATAAACAGAAATTTACAATGTATTATTAGAAGAAATATCCACCAAAAGATTTTTTAGAGGTAGTTTTGAGATAGAAGAAAGAAACAAAAAATACACTCAATGTTGAAAAATCAACAAGTCAATACTTTGTCATGACCTTTCAAAGAAGGCTACTTTGAATGGAAAGCAAACAACAACGTGAGGAACAAGAAAACTAGAATTAGCTAGATTGGTGTCTGAACTTTTGAAACATTGTTCGAGTTAATTTGATCCACCTACCAATTTTAATTTTTCAACTAAAGTATAATTCGACTGTTAATTTATTATAATTACGTAGTGAATTTTAGTGTTTGTATGATTTTAATTTAAACCGTAGGAAAATTAATTAAGCTGTTGTTACTGACTGGGTATTAGTGAGAAATGATCTAATTTGTTAATTCAGGTTAAAGACCAAATCACTTTACCTACAAATCTCTACTATTGTTTTTTAATATTGAACCCTATAATTAACAATTTCACTCAGCTTTCTACAAATTTGAGAGATTAATTTGAGTTTTGACTTGGAGTATTGTCCAAAATAATTTATAACAAAGGAAATTAAAAAATTATCTTTTGTTGAAAAAGCACCCTAATCTGAATTAATACTAAAATTTTTAGTCTAAAATATAATGAAAATCTTATGGTTTTTGAATTATGTATATCTTCGATCGTAAATATGGTGATACATGTGAAAATGGTTACAAAAGTATGTAACCATTTATAATTATATCATCATAAAAAGCTTTTAGTAATTCAATCCTTAGAAAACTCAATTATAAAATCTATTTGATTTAAAAGTGGCCTATAGTGATTTAAGTATTCGTAAAGGGAGAAGGTAGGGACATTAGGTTTTGTCACTTAATATGATTAAAAAAAAAACACTAACAAACTAGATTTGAATTCAAAACATATATTATGGTCTTCAACTAAAAGTCTGCTCCAAACAATCAAAGACAAAATTAAAATCATATTTTTTCTTCACACAGATAAGAAATTATAACTAATCTTCATTCTTTGTTGATGGCTTTATATGTTCACAAATTATATATTTTAAATAAAAATCAAGAAATAGGAAAGACCAAGAACAAGAAGCAACCTCTGTATTTTCCCAGGAAGGAACCTAAAATTCAATTCTCACGTCCTGTTGAATTTTAAACTCAAGAAGTCAAAAACTGAAAATGTCAAACTTTTCTTCTTCTTCACGGCTCTCTCCACTTACTATATATAGATCCAACTCCAAGTCCACAAAACTTACTCACAACATATTTAGTAATCTCATAAACTCATAAACTTAACACTTTTGTTTTAACTTTTAATTAGTCCAAAAGAAAATGATGATGAACAAAGTTGTATTGGGTTCGATTCTGTTTTTCATGTTGGTTAGTTCGGTTCTTGTCGTGGAAGCTCGTCCGTTGGGTTTAACCAAGGCTGAAGAGAAGCTTGTTGCTAAGTTCTTTGATGGTTTGTCACTTGGGGCGATCAAGGAGTCGGGTCCTAGCTCTGGTGGTGAGGGTCATCATTTCGTGGACCGGACTGAGACGATTGGGTATGGTAAACACTCTGGTCCTAGCACCAGCGGACCCGGTCATTAATTTCAGACGGGACCAGTTAAGGTGGCTGATTTGGACAGGACCAGTTAAGGTGGCTGATTTGGTTTAATTTATTTTTTCAGATTTATTTATTAGGATATTTATTTTTATGCTTAGAACTGGGGGAAATCAAGAATTGGTATAGCCTCATTTTGTTCTATGTAGGATTATTCTTTTGTTAATTATTGAAATTCATTTGATAAAAAAAATGTACTCAATGTAATAATTTGTAATTCATTTATTATTCTGATTATATTGGATAAAATTACTGGATATTTCTGATTTTAGTGAATTTCAATAACAAATAGTTAAGATACACAAAGTAAAAAGATTTTCGACAAAGCGATATTATTTGAGAACTAGACATAACTAATTATCGGAGAGATATTCAAAAACAAGAATTAAGGTTTTCAATAGATGTTGAGATATTCAAAAACAAGAATTAAGGTTTTCAATAGATGTTGCGAACGAAGCTGATTAAATTTACACTATTTATTTTTGAAGTAAACAAACAATATGCGGTGTAACAAATTTCTTTCAATGTAAAAATAGTTTATAGTTGGTATGCGACAGATTTCTTCGATTTACTTAGCAACGCACCAATAAAGACGATAATTGAGAAAAAAAACTAGCACTCTAATCTACAAACAAATTTATTCATCCTAAGTCCTAAAGTTTGCAATCATTAAAATCCTAAGTTGTAAGTAATTTGTAGTGTATATATCTTCATCATCTAAACCTTCTTTGGAGTCATAATCAATTAATCATCACATAACTTTGCCTTTTAACAGCTATTTCCACTTCAACTTTGTTGGAATTATAATTCCAAGAATTCTTTTTTTTTAATTATTTTGTAAAAAAAAATGACTAACGAAAATATATATTTTACAGTAAGAAAAAACATTTAACAAGAAATTTATTTTCATTGAGAAATTTTCTTTAATAACAACAAAAACAGAGCAAAGAGGCCACGTCATGAGATCATAATGAGGCCATATTACAACATCTTTCATATAACTCCAACAGCACTTCTCCTCCTTCTTCTTCTTCTTGTTCATTCCTCTTCATCTTACACCTCAGAGATCAGAATCAATGGCTTCATAGTAAGATTACATTTCTAAAAAAGCTCGAATCCTCGACTATGGAATCCTCTGCTCTTCTACATTCTTTCACTAAGTTCTCTTCTCATAGAAACTCCACTCTCCATCTCACTCGACTCAACTCCACCACTCTCTTCCTCCCTAGAGATCTCCTTATTCATAACACTATCTCCAATACTCGAAGATCACTTCTTCTTCTTCCCAGAGCCACTTCTACGAGCCAAGAACACCACAATCACAATCACCATCACCACGAAGAGCATGATCACCATCACCATCACCGACATTGCTGTTCCGTGGAACTCAAGTTATCGAACAAACCTCAAAAGCTACTGATCAAGTTCGCTAAAGCAACTGGATGGATTCGTTTAGCCAATTTCCTCAGAGAACATTTCCATCTTTGCTTCTCCTCTGCCGTACTCTTCCTCGTAGCCGCAGCTTCACCTCACTTCATTCCTAAACCTTACGTTACACCAATCCAAAACTCCCTCATGACTGTTGCTTTCCCTCTTGTTGGAGTAAGATCTCTCATCTTCTCTAAAACTCTGTTTTTTTTTTTTTTTTTGTTTCTTCGACGAAACAGAACGGTTAAAAACAGAATCTTTAACTTTTAGATTTCAGCATCTCTTGACGCACTTATGGATATAGCTGGTGGAAGAGTGAACATTCATGTTTTAATGGCATTAGCTGCTTTTGCATCTGTCTTTATGGGAAATGCTTTAGAAGGAGGATTGCTTCTTACCATGTTCAATCTTGCTCATATCGGTATGATTCTTTAAGGTTTCTTGATTATGTTTTTGGTGAAGTTTGAGAAATTGTGTTTTGTAGCTGAAGAGTTCTTCACGAGTCGGTCCATGGTGGATGTTAAAGAGTTGAAAGAGAGTAATCCAGATTCTGCATTGGTGATTGATGTGAACGATGAAAATGTACCAAACTTCTTCGACTTGTCGTATAAAAGCGTTGATGTGCATAATGTACAAGTTGGATCCTATGTTTTGGTAGGAACTGGTGAGGTATGTGTAAAACTTGTCTCTTTGTTTTTGATTGCTTGAGATTATTACATTTGGTGACTTTGTTTAGTTAGTTGTGTTTTAGATTGTGCCTATGGATTGCCAAGTTTATCAAGGCAATGCAACCATAACAGTTGAGCATTTGACTGGGGAAGTGAAGCCATTGGAAGCAAAAGCTGGAGATAGAGTGCCTGGTGGTGCAAGAACTTTGAATGGCAGAATTATTGTGAAGGTCATATATATAATTTGACCAAGCGCGTAGCGTAGTGCTTTAGCTTGCGTTTACTAGAAGTCTCAAGGTTAATTTTGTTCATTTCAGGCTACAAAGACATGGAATGAGTCGACACTTAATAAGATTCTACAGTTGACTGATGAAGCACACTCTAATAAACCAAAACTTCAGAGATGGCTCGATGAGTTTGGTGAGAGTTACAGCAAGGTGGTGGTTGTTTTATCAGTTGCTATTGCCTTCCTTGGTCCGATTTTGTTCAAATGGCCATTTCTTGGCACCACAGGTAGAAATTGAATGATCTTTTGAAATTTTTTATTTCCTAGTTCTCTTGACATGGTTTTTGACTATGTACTTTGATTTGGTTTTCTCTATGATGATACAGTATGTAGAGGATCTGTTTACAGAGCGTTGGGATTTATGGTGGCGGCATCACCGTGTGCCTTGGCAGTTGCTCCATTAGCCTATGCTACTGCTATTAGTTCTTGTGCAAGAAAGGTATCTATGTTACAATGTACTATATCTAGTCAATCCATTGGCTTATGCTACTTCTATTAGTTTTGTCGATGTATATAAGCTGTGCAATCTTGGATAGGGAATATTGCTGAAAGGTGGACAGGTCCTAGATGCTCTAGCTTCTTGTCATACTATTGGTTTTGACAAAACCGGGACCTTAACGACCGGAGGGCTTACATGCAAAGCAATTGAACCCATTTATGGGCATCAAGCAGGATATAATGCAAGTGTAGATCCTTGTTGTATGACAAATTGTGAAAAAGAAGCATTAGCTGTTGCAGCTGCTATGGAGAAAGGTACCACACATCCTATTGGAAGGTAAAAAAATCTAACAACATACAAGGCTTTTGATCAAGCTCTCTCTGTTTGTTGTTTATGACATGTCCTATATATTTGCAGAGCCATGGTAGACCATAGTGTTGGGAAGGACCTCCCTAGTGTTTCTGTTGAAAGCTTTGAATATTTTCCCGGTAGAGGCCTTACTGCTACAGTTAACTGTATTGAGGTGCAAGAAAATTATCTACTGGATTATATAAAGTCTATATCCAATGTTGTCTCTCACTACAACTTTTCTTGTTCTTCTGCTGTAGTCAGTAACCGAAGACAGTAAACTGCGGAAAGCTTTACTTGGTTCGGTGGAATTCATCACTTCACTCTTCAAATCACAAGATGAGTCTAGAAAGATCAAGAATGCTGTAAATTCTTCTTTGTATGGAAATGACTTTGTTCATGCTGTTCTCTCACTTGATCAAAAGGTAACATTGATTCACCTCGAGGATCAGCCTCGTCGAGAGGTATTAGAAGTTATAACAGAACTTAAAAGCTGGAGTAGAATGAGGATAATGATGTTAACTGGAGACCACGAGTCAAGTGCTCGGAGAGTTGCAGATGCAGTAGGTATTGATGAAGTCTACTCCAACCTAAAACCAGAAGACAAACTGAATCATGTCAAAAGCATCTCAGCAGATTCAGGTGATATAATCTTCTTACATATAGATACTGCTTAGAAGAAGAACCATAACGCTAACACGAGTTTCAAGTAATTGGTTTTGGTTTTAGGTGAAGGTCTAATTATGGTGGGAGAAGGAATTAACGATGGCCCTGCTTTAGCAGCAGCAACTGTAGGAATAGTTCTTGCTCAACGCGCAAGTGCCTCAGCGATAGCAGTAGCTGATGTCTTACTACTTCAAGACAACCTCACTGGTATCCCTTTCTGCATAGCCAAATCCCGCCAAACAACATCACTAGTCAAACAAAACGTCGCTCTCGCATTAACCTCGATATGCTTAGCCGCTCTTCCATCAGTTCTCGGCTTTCTTCCTTTATGGTTGACGGTAGTAAACCATCCATCTCTGCTCTTTAAAAAGCTATTAAACAATTTCTCTAAACCTTCCCTTGGGAATCATCGCAGGTACTGTTACACGAAGGCGGAACGCTTCTAGTTTGCCTTAACTCGATACGCGGCTTAATACGATCCAAGCTCTCCCGAGCCTGCACATTAAAGTAAACTTTTGGCTTTCAATGATTATTATGTCAATGTATAGTAAACTGTTTATAAGATTATATAAGATCATTATTACAAGAATCTCATATGAACACTTCTTCATCAAAATCAATCCATTTATTAAAGTTTTTTTCTTTCTTTTTCTTTCTAATGAATTGAATCTCAAATCATCAAACTTTGACTCTTTTCTCTCTGAGTCATTTTCCCGAGAAAATAACAGAGGAAAACGAAATGATTCATCTCTTCATCTTCATCTTCTCTCTCTCACTACTCGATCTTTCCTATTCCAATAAACTCTCTAAACCCTACATTACGACCTTGCACCATACACGAACTTGCTCCTCCTCCTCCTCGTCCGCCGCTTCCTCCGCCGTTCCCTAGCTGTAAATCCGTCATGTAACTCCTCACCTCTGTTTTAATCATCTCCTGAACCACCGTCATGAAATCTCCACCGAATCCATTAATCCCTCTTTCCTTCTCTTCTTCTTCTTCTCTCTTCACCGGAAACAACTCCGCCGTGTCTCTTCTTCCCGGAGTTGACTCGCTGTTGACCCAAGACAAAGACAAACTCAAACAAGTCGCCGGATCTTTCTCCTCCTCCTCCGACGTCGACGAAGACTCAATCACAACTCCACCAGCTCTCGCCGTCGGTTTAAATACACGAGAAGACGAAACCGGTATAACAGATCCACTTAACTGCTCGCTGACGTCAGATCCCGTTGGACTTAACGCCGTTACCACAACCCCAACTCCACTGTAACCGCCACTCGCCGTCCGTTTTAACGGCTGTTCATCTGTTAAATTACCATCATACCCTCCATTACCACCGAAACCACAGCTCTGTCCTTTCTCTCCACCACCGCCGCCACCGCTACATTTACGTTTCAGCGTTGAGTTCCAATGATTCTTAATCGCGTTATCGGTGCGACCATTGAGAAGCCTCGCGATCGTAGCCCACTTGTTACCGAACCGAGCGTGAGCGCGTATGATAGCATCGTCTTCCTCCGCCGTGAAACCACGGTGCTCAACCTCCGGAGATAGCTGATTACACCACCGGAGACGGCAAGATTTACCGGAACGTCCAGGGATCGATTTGCTTATCAGAGACCAGTTCCTCGGTCCGTGCTTTTGAACCAGCGATTGTAACAGATCGTCTTCTTCAGGACTCCATGGCCCTTTGATCCGATCCGTTTCTTTCCGGGTCGAACCAGACGTCATCGGATCTTTTTCCCTTTTTTTTTGAAAATAAAATAAAATAATGCAAATCGTTTAAAACGCGTTTCTTAGTTTTTTTTTGGGTTGAGAAGATAAGTGTGAAGAGGAGAGAGTATTTATACGAGATGTGATGGTTATAATGGTCACCGGTTCTACCGGTTCTCGTTATAGCTAACAAGAACTTAATTAACTACTTTAATTTTCTTTGTAACTGAAATTTTTGGATTATTTATGTGCATAATTATGTTTTATATAGCTGCAACCGAATCAAATTGAAAATCAAACTAAAAATATATGTCATTTAGTTTTCTTATTTTAAAATTTAAATAGAAGCAAAATTATTTCTTGTGTCATCAAATTAATCTAAGATTGAGACGCAGTACATGAAGACGCTACTCTTTATGTTTCCTCGGATTTGGCAGATTGAGAATAGGGTTGTGGGAGCAGATCTCGGATTGGGTAAGTTTCAATTCGATTTTGAAAATGAAGAAGATATAACGAAGGTGCTGAATATCGAGCCATTCCATTTCGATCACTGGATGGTGGCGATGGTCCGCTGGGAGCCGTCGGTTGACCCTGAATATCTGTCAATGATTACTTTCTGGATAAGGGTACTCGGTATACCTTTACAATTCTGGGCAGAGCCGACTTTTCGGAGTATTGGCGAGGATCTGGGCAAGGTTGAGGAAATTGATATTCATGGCGGTCGGGTGAAGGTGATCTTAAACGGATTAAAGCCGCTGTGTTTCGCCACAGAGCTTGATTTTGGTAATGGGGTGGAGATTCCGGTGAAGTTGCGTTACGAGCGGTTATTTGGGTTCTGTAGCTTGTGTTATAGTCTTTGTCATGATGAGGATGAATGTGAGAAGCAGATTATTAAGAGGGTGCAACCTACTGCTTCTGGAGGAGATCGGCCCAAACCTTCTGAGGAAGATAGGGACAGAAGACATCACAACTACAAAGGGGCAGTGGAGAGTCAAAAGAGAAATCTGGATAAAGGGAAGGGTGGAGAGAATGAGAAAAGGGGAGAGGGTAGCAGAGTTAAATCTGGTCATTATCACGGTGAACCCTCGTATCGGGCACGCAGGTTTACAAGCTATTCTCAGCTCAATGACCATCGCCGCGTTATTTATGATGAGGAGACTAAAGAGGAGACAATAGTGGAGCCATCAGAGGTAGGGTTGGATCGTAACTCATCAAAGCTGGTTCGTAAATCTTTGTTCCAGGATTCCACGGTTGTGCCAGCAAACTCGGTTGCCAGGGTAGAAGCAAGCATGGAATCGGTTACGTTATCTCCTGGTCCTGTTCTTGAAGCGGTGAACACGGCTGAGCTGATAAGCGGTGAAGAGGCGGTACTGTTGGAGCAGTTAATCATTCCAGAGCAGCAAAGTATTGCCAATGTACCATTAGCTTCTATAGATGAAGATAGTGGTTATGATGAGGTTTTTCAGGATCCGAGTGTGGTGTTTGGGGCTGGGCTGGAATGTGGGGAGCTGGGTAGAGTTTTAACACACGAGGTATTGCTTGGAGAAGAAGAAAATGAAGACAGTGGACAGGAGATAGAAACAGATGGGGGGGATGATGATTTGGAACAGGTTGAGAAGCTGGACCATGAGGATAAGGGGCTGGAGCGTAGTCGTCGGGTTCGGGGTCCTGTTTTGGCAGGTGCGGGTTCGAAGAAGCGTTTGGCTCAAATGATGTCTACACCTCGAAAGAGGCAAGCGCCCAAACAAGGTGATGGAGGTACTACAAAGGCCCGAGAAATGGACAAGGGCGGTCATGGTGGTTCCAAGCCACCCAAACCTCATATTGCAAAATGAAGATAGTGAGTTGGAATTGTCAAGGACTTGGAAATAAGGCAACAATCGGGTATCTTCGGGACATTTGGAAGAAACATCGGCCAGAATTTTTATTTCTTTCGGAAACAAAACAATTATCTCCTTTTGTGGAAAAGTTTCAATTACATTTCGGTTTTAGTGATTTAATAACGGTGGATCCTATTGGTTGCAGTGGGGGTTTGGCCCTTTTTTACAATAATAATATCTTTAATGTTTCGGTCTTATTTAAGTCTAATAGAATTATTGATATTGAAGCAGTTTTTAAAGGCAAAACAATTTATCTATCTTTTATCTATGGAGATCCGGTCCCAAAGTTAAGAGAGGCGGTTTGGGAAAGATTAACAAGAATCGGTTTAAATAGGGACGCTCCATGGTTTTTGATTGGTGACTTTAATGAACTAACTGGAAATCATGAAAAACGAGGAGGCAAGTTACGACCGGCATATTCTTTCATTCCATTTAATTGTATGATAAGGAATTGCGGACTACTTGATTTCCCAGTTATAGGTGATTGGCTCTCATGGCGGGGATGGAGAGATAAAAAACCAATTCGGTGTCGGTTAGATAGAGCTCTAGGGAATGAAGACTGGCACGAATTATTTACGGATACTGTTACGGAATACTTACCTATGGTAGGATCGGATCACAAGCCCATAGTCACTAGTGTGGCGGAACGAGGAGCACGCAAGAAACATTTTTTTATTTTTGACAAGCGATGGGTGGGAAAAGATGGACTTCAGGAAGCTATTGTTTCTAGATGGAGTGAGAGTGCTGAAAGGTGCCCTAACTCACTAGTGGATAATATTAGTAATTGTAGACGAGGTATTGCGCACTGGCGGAGAGACCAGGTACCTTTCGGGAGAAACACTATAGAGGATCTGAAAAGGCAATTGGCAGAGGCTCAGGCTGATGATAACTCCACCCCATCATGATGAAGAGGTATACTGGCAACAAAAGAGTCGGAACCGGTGGATGAGAGTTGGGGATATGAATTCGAAGTATTTTCACGCTCAAACAAAATGTAGACGAGCTAGGAATCGTATCGTGGGTCTGTATAATAATAAGACAAGGATATTTGTAATATTGCTACAGATTATTTTAACGGCTTATTCTCCACGAGTAATCCTAATACGGTTGAGGACACATTAAGCGGAATACAGACTTTAATCACCGAGGAGGATAACCAACTCTTGACGGCATCGGCATCAGAGAGGGAAATTAAAACTGCTCTCTTTATGATGAATCCGGAAAAAGCTCCGGGTCCGGATGGCATGACAGCCCTGTTTTTTCAAAAGGCGTGGGGGGTGGTGAAGGAGGATTTGGTCTATGTAGTTAACTCCTTCTTTCAAGAAGGGGTTTTTGATAAACGGTTGAATAAGACAAATATTTGTCTCATTCCAAAAGTCGAAAGGCCAACCCGTATGGCCGAATTCAGACCTATTAGTCTCTGTAATGTCGGATATAAGATAATTTCAAAATTTTTATGTCAAAGGTTAAAACAGGTACTCCCGCGGATTATATCGGAAACACAATCTGCATTTGTTCCGGGCCGGTTAATTTCAGATAATATTTTGATCGCCCAAGAAATGTTTCATGGGCTTCGGACTAATCAGGCATGTAAGAGTAAATTTATGGCTATCAAGACTGATATGAGCAAGGCTTATGACAGGGTAGAATGGGAGTTTGTAGAGAAGTTACTCCGTAAATTTGGATTCTCGGAGCAATGGATCTCCTGGATAATGTTTTGTATATCTTCGGTGGAATATAGGGTTCTGATCAATGGACAACCTCAGGGCTCTATTACTCCAGGGAGAGGTTTAAGGCAGGGTGACCCGTTGTCACCTTACATATTTATCCTTTACACAGAGGTTTTAATTGCAAACATAAGAAAAGCGGAAGGGGCGAAAAAGTTATCTGGTATTAAGGTGGCAAACAAGAGTCCGCCAATATCTCATCTGCTATTTGCCGATGATAGTCTTTTCTTTTGTAAGGCTTACAGGGAGCAATGTCTGGTTATTTTGGATATTCTAAAGAGATATGAGGCGGCTTCAGGTCAACAGATAAATTTTGTCAAGTCATCGATACAATTTGGTCATAAGGTGGGAGAGAATATAAAGTCGGAGATGCAGGAGATTCTTGGAATTACAACGTTGGGAGGAATGGGTTCTTACCTAGGGTTACCTGAAAGTCTTGGTGGGTCGAAGACCAAGGTTTTCTCATTTATACAAGACCGGTTACACAATCATATTAACGGGTGGTCGGCAAAATTACTCTGTAAGGGTGGAAAGGAGGTGATGATAAAGGCTGTGGCATCAGCATTACCTACATATGTGATGTCTTGCTTCCGGTTACCAAAGACGATTACAACTAAATTAACAAGTGCAATTGCAAACTTTTGGTGGGGTACAAATGGTAATTCTGGGGGAATGCACTGGTGGGCTTGGGCAAAGTTATGTAATAGTAAACAGTTAGGGGGACTGGGATTCAGGGATGTCCAGGATTTTAATACAGCCCTTTTGGCTAAACAGTTGTGGAGACTTATGGAAGCTCCGGATTCACTTTTTGCAAAGGTTTTTAAGAGTCGGTACTATCGGAATTCAGATCCGATGGCTCCGATTCGAACATATTCTCCCTCGTACGGGTGGAGAAGTATCATTTCAGCTAGATCTCTGGTATACAAAGGGCTTATTAAAAGAGTTGGATCAGGTGAGTCCATTTCCATTTGGACGGATCCTTGGATTCCGGCTCAATTCCCGAGACCAGCTTTGAGTAATGGGCCGGTTATGGACCCATCACTTCAGTTAACCCAATTGATTGATCGTCAAAACAATTCGTGGCGTCAAGATTTACTTCAAGTACATTTTGATCCGTCAGAGGTATCCATAATTAATGCAATCCCGGTAGGGAGTAATCCGGGGGAGGATTCATTAGGTTGGCACTTTACAAAGAATGGAAAGTATACGGTTAAGTCGGGATATCATATAGCAAGAATGGTGGATCCTCTGTGCGCTAAAGTCGTCTTTGGACCAGAGCTCTCACCACTTTTTGCAAAGGTTTGGAAGGTACAATGCCCACCCAAAATAAGACATTTTATGTGGCAGGTGGTATCGGGATGTATTTCGGTAGCAGCCAATTTGCGGAGAAGGGGAATCAATATTGATCCTAGCTGTGTGCGATGTGGTCATCCAATAGAAACGGCGAATCACGCTGTTTTTGAGTGTCCTCCGGCTCGACAATTGTGGGCCTTAGCTAATATTCCTATGGGCCCAAATTTATTTCCGTCGGATTCTGTATATGCAAATATGGCATATCTTTTGGGATTTAACGATCCTGTAGGTGAGGTAACTAGTTTCCCTTGGTTACTATGGTACAGCTGGAAAGCTAGAAATGCAAAAGTTTTTGAAAACATAGATGAATGTCCTTTGGCGGTTAGTAGGATAGGAAAGGATGAGGCCATGGCCTGGAATCAGGCGCAAATTGAGGAATCCGACCGGGATACAATTACTAGTAGCAGAAATAGGGGACCAATTACATTAGAAAGGGATTTGCAACCTTGGGTGGAAGGATATTGTTGCTATTTGGATGGATCATGGAAGGCGACCGACCAGTTTGCAGGGTTAGGCTGGTATTGTCAGCAGCCAGGGACGGACTCAGCACTATTGGGGGCCCAAACTACAAGACGAAGTCTCTCTCCACTCCATGCAGAGATAGAAGCACTTGTATGGGCAATGAGATGTATGCTTGGTCATGATCTCAGTGACGTCAAGTTCTACACTGACTGTTCTGATCTAGTGAAGATGGTGTCTTCTCCTCATGAATGGCCGGCTTTCGCGACGTACTTGGAGGATATAAAAGTTGACAGGGAAGAATTCACATCTTTTTCTTTATCTCTTATATCACGAAATGCAAATGTAAAAGCGGACTATTTGGCACGCAAAGCTCGTGTCAGTTCGCACGTTGTTAAGTTTGTAAACAATGTTCTATCCGATTGGCTCGTTTGAGTTGATATTTTAGTATGAGGTTGAGAAAAAAAAAAAAAAAAAATTAATCTAAGATTAAAATTCCATAAATTATATATAAACAGAAATTTAGTTTAAAATAAATACTCATTATAAAAAATAAATTTAAAGTAGTAATTTGGAAAATAAATTAAATTTAGTAGTAATTTAAATATTTGCGTAATCACTAAAATTTTGGATTAATTATGTCATATGTGTATTAGTGTATGTATGTACGTAATTATGTAAATGAAGATGTAACGTGAGATAATAACACAGACACACACCGGCTTGCAATAATTGTAACGTATGAATTTAAAATATTTTTTAAATTAGAGAGAAAATGAAAAGAAAAATAAAACAGCGATTGGCGGAGCGTTTGTGGGGAATTGCGACTGTGAGAGAGACGTTAAAATCAAAGAAGAGAATCTTTCCAAAAAAAACGGTTGGGGATTTGGGATACAGCTGTGATTGACACGTGTCAACTGAGTAAGTAACTGTAAGAGTACAACACTTGTGGTACTTTTCGTGTCTGTGAGCGTTTTTTTTTCATATAATTCAAATCGTTTCGTTTTTTTTTTTCAGTTTTATTTTATTTTACGTAGTTTTAAGATTATGAATTATTGTGTCTGTGAAGGAGAAAAGAAACATATCGTTTTCAAATTGAAAGCAGTGTGACGCATACGTATTAGAAACGTATAAGTAAAGTATACACATACTTATTGAGTGTTTTTTTTGGTAACAGAAAAAAGAAGAAGATTAGGATGAAGTTAAAAGGGATGGTTTAGGTTTTAGTATAAGAAGTCTATAATTTATTTTGTTGGATTTTACAAAGACTTTTCTGAAGCCAGCCTGTATGCCATTATTATTATCACTTTATTTTTCGGATATTTTTTATAAAAAAACTATACGTAATTGAAAACGACAAGATAAGTATAGTTTTTAACAAAAAAAAATAAAAAAAAAGTTCGTTACTAATCTTTTTCAGTTTTCGTATAAAGAAAATTCTTGTTAAAATTTGTTTGTAATAATAATTATTAGATAATTTAGAAAGGAAAAGACAGGCTGTAATCTATAAACGGCCAATTTCTAACCTGCTCATTCCTCTCTTTTTTCACTAATAATTTTGTTTGGTATTACGAATTTTTTGTATAGTTTGACTCCAAAAAAATGTTTATTGGGTTGGAAAAGAGAATTATTAATTTGCTTTCAACGTTATATATGACTTCGAATTTTTTTTCTTTATATCAAACCCAAAAAAAGAAAAAAAAATTACATTGGTTAGTAACTAAACCAACAACATTTTGGTACATATAATTTATGATTTCAGTGAAAATTTTGTTTAATTATGAAGTTAATGAAATACATATTATTAGTTTTTTATTGGGTTTTCTTTGGATTCAAGTAATAAGTAATGACCCAAAAAAAAAGTAACTAACCATTTTGGTTTTTTAAAGCATAAACCTTTGCTTAGAATAGACCAGCTTCAAACTCTATTTTAGAACTAAAATGTCTCCAAATGAAAACTTTGCTTAAGCCATATATTTTAGGATGAAAATCGAAATCGTAAATTACACTATAATACTATCCAAAAAAATTAATGCACATAATGTAAAACTTTGAGGACATGCAAGATAACTTTAACAATCATAATTCCTACAAGCTCTGCATAATAAAAAAAAAATGATTTATGTTTAAAAAAAGTTTCTCTTTTATTTTTTTTTGTCCTTCTTTTGTTGTTTATAGATAAGAGTAGCATAAGAAAACTAAAAGGGTAATGAATACGTTAAACCGTACAAGAGCCTGAGTACCGCACAGAAACGAACGCACATGTGTTCCAATGCCAAAGGGAGAGCTTCTCTTCAGCTTCCTCATCATCCAAAAGAGAGTTCTTAAGATTCTCTCTGTCTAATTATCGAATCCAAATTATAGATTTTAGGACATAGATTAAACACGAATTAGTGTCATTAATGAAGAGATACGTATCAAAGATTTTTTCCTTTACTGGTCGTCCATCGTATCTCTACTACCAAATTCCCATAATTGTATTCTAATACCACCACTAATTATTTGTTTTTTATTCAAATGTTGATGTGTCATTGACCAATTAAGTGATATGTGGTAGAAGTTTTCTATGTGGTCCGCAAGCTGTACTTGCATGATCTCATTTAATAAGGGTTTGCTTATTCGATTCACGTACGTGAGGGTTTGATTTAAATGGCTCTCTCATTTTCTTGAAAATAATACCCTACACGTTTTCTCAATATATTTATGAATGGTATGAATATGTAATATTTAGGCGTTTGAGTGTTTTTTTCTTCTTTTTCTTCCAATTTGCATACTAACCTAGTGTAATTTAAAAATTCATATTCAATTTTCTTGTATGTTTTATATTATCCGTATCTATATCCGTATCCGTATTATCCGTGACGTATGTATCTATAAAATTATGAATAATATGGATACAAATACGAATATCTTAAGCAAATCGGATATTCAGTCTATTAATATGGCTAGTTTGCTATACATTCTAATATAGCTATGCACATTTTTTCTTCTTCTTAGTAATATTATTGTATGATGTATCTTAATGTGCTTTAGCTATGTTATGACTTATGATATTAACCATTTTAGTTTTTTTTTTCATGCTAATTAAATAATATGCGTATGGCCCTTAATGTAATTTAAAAAGTATTGGTTTGTGATGTAGAGTAGTAGTACGTCGTTCGAAGTATTCTAAATTTTTTCCTTTAAAAAAGTACAATTTTTTTTCTTTTTTACGAATTTTGTGGGAGAATGTATTTGTAAACTCAATTCTTAAAGTTATATTCTTTCACGAGTAAGGAAATTATTCTGTTTGGTCTGTCTAAAATTCCATTGTACTCACATCGAGACGTAATGTCTACTTTTGTCGAGAGAAAAGCATGTGACTGCCGAAATAAAACCATGTGACTATCTCTTATTTTAACTACTCTAAAGTTTTTTTTTTATATAGGTTCAATGTATGTGTAAGCATGCATATCCCTTTTGTTAAATGATCGATGATATCTATTAATCCAAAGTTAGAGATTTATGTAACGATATTATTGTCTCGAATCGTGATTAGAAGAAGAAACGTATAAAATATGGTGAATATTAATTTTTTAAAAAAATGGTGAATATTAATTTAACGAAGAAGATAAGAAAGCTATCTATATATATAAAGTTAGCTTTTTCTCTCTTCTCATGATGCCACCTAAGCATCCACCTAAACCACATTTTTGTTTAAATATTAAAATAAATTTAAAACATTCATTTAGTGCATATTTATGTTACTTATATAATTAATAGAAAGTTTATATAAATAAAAATAAATTATGTAAAAAAAATGAAATGTTAAAATAAGAAAAAATACTTTAATTTGTTTATTAGTGGTAATAATATAATTCAACTTTCTTTTTAAACTGATCATAATTTAATATTTTAAATATGTTACTGAGTTTTAGAATGGAAGTAAAATTTAAATTTATGATAGACTAAAACAACATTTATGTAATTGTATATATAAAATTATAAAGAGGAAAAATAAAATGAAAGTGAAATATTAGTTTATAACATGATCAAAAAGAAAAAAATGATATTTCATAAATTGAATCAAATGCTTTTAATCCAAATTTGAGTATTGAAAGATAATAATTAAAGAAAAAATAATTATAATATTTTTGAAAATTAATTAAAAATAATAATAAAATATTACAATATGAATAAAAATCAACAAAACAAAATTATAAACCTCCCGCGCGGAGCGCGGTCAACTGCTAGTAGATTATATTATTGTGATTGTGTGTTCTATTTCTAGAGTTCATGGTGCATTAATACAAGTCAATGAGACAGATCATTAATTCATTTGTGAGCTTAGCAAATTGAAAGAAGGTGGTCGTCAAAGTCAAATAGATAATATAGGTGAGATTATGGTTTTCAGTTATCCTATCATAATGATATTTTAAAGTCAAACAAAAAAACATGTAGCTATTACATGTATTGTCTACTTATATAGAAATTAAACTGAATCTTTATATTTCACGTTATTGTGTTGTTATTTGAAAACAAAATCAAGTAGCAAAGCAAGTGCCGTTGAGCTTTTGAAAGAAGATTTTAGCATGTTATAAAGCAAAATAACATAATATACCAAGCCATTACTTTAACTAGTAAAGATTTCAAACAAAAGTTTAATTAAAAATCGCGATTTGAGTGGTTTTTAAAATGAAATCTTATAACATGTTTTAGTTTCGGGAATGAATGTAAATAATACTTAATGTTTTTGAAAAATTTATTCAAAATCTCTCAATTATTCAAAAGTAAGGAAAAAACACTTGATTTTTTTAAATCTTTTTTTTAAACTACCCATAAAATCCATGTGATCTTTTGCTTATTTTTTTTGTATGTGTTCGCATCCAATTTTTTTTTCTTATGAACAAGATTGATTTTAATAGTTTCAAGTTTTCAACTGCTGCTCTGCCAGAGACACGTGAAAGCAACGAGCCAACGATCGATCACGTACAGCCGAAGCAAACATATCGTACGACTTGTGTTGTTTCCCACCGGTGAGGCAGAGAAAAATAATAATTACGATTCATAGTAATATAAAATGCATAGGGCTTACTTACGAGTTTAAAACTCTTTATGAGGCCCATATGTAAAACTCATGCATTTGAATCACAACCACAAAATTGCAAACAACAAGAGTTTTAGCCAAATCTTAGGCAAACAATAATAGATTTGCAAAATTAAACAACAAGAGTTTTCACCCAAGAGATCGAAAGAAAACAACAACAGAAAGTTAATTTTGTATTGATTATTGGGCTTAGAATATGAAACCCATCTAATCTAGAAGGCCCGCCCAAAATTTTATATTTTCCTTTGCTTTTGCGTTTGTTTATATTTTCCAAATTAAAGAAAAAAACCACTTTTAATAATTAAAATATGGAACCGTTCGATTTTATCTGACGAATCAACATCGGATC